CTTGTATTCAAACAGCATTACATGCCGAATGTGTGTCTCGTCGTGTGACATCACTATAAGGGATTAAAGTATACTAAACTTTACATATTATATAGACTACACTTACGTGACGTTTAACTATTACACGTGATGTACGTTGTTTTTTTTGGGGGTGGGGGTAAAGAAAATGTTCCAAAACGCTACTTGAGCTACTCTTTACCGACGAATAGTAGGATTGAACGTCTCATTATGATGCCCACACGGCTGAAAGGGCGAGCATATTTGATTATGGATTTTTTACTCGCAACCTATAGATCGCGAGTCGAGTACCCTAGCAACCAGGCCATGACAGGCCCAATTACGTCATCCAATAGCATAAAAGGCAATAGCGTTGTAAGCAAGAATTTGCTTTATTAGTTAAACCAAAAGACTGCTCCTGTTTGTTACTAAGCACAAAGCTGAAGAATGGGCTATCTGTGCTCTGCCTTGCGCGGTTATCGAAACCCGAATTTTAGCATTGTAAGCTGTGAGACTTATCGCTGAGCCACTGGAGTTTTTCCTCGTGAAGTTGTTTATGCTATGCAACCAAATTCAAATTTGTAAGCCTGTAACTATTCTTAATTAGTAAACTAAATAGAATAATATTAAAAAATATATTACTATATAACATCAAAATGAAACAACTTAGAACAAGTATATTTTATTAAACTATTTCCTGTGAGATAGTTATTAGTATATATAGAATATTATTGTTATAAAAAATGCCCCCCAGTAGCACAGCGGTATGTCTGCGGAATTAGAACGCTGGAATCCGGATTTCGATACCCGTGGTGGGCATCGCACAGATAGCTCATTGTGTAGCTTTGTGCTTGATTACAAACAAAGTTTATAAAAAATGAGTTATTATTTACAAATTAAAAATATATTTACCCTAATAGAATGAAAGGATTAAAACATAAAATTGCAATTGTTAAAAATAAGATTATGCCTAAACATTTTTGTAACTTAGATCCAAAAGTATTTAATAATCTACCTTTAATGAAAATAAATTTGAGGGACTTGGAAGAGAGATTTTGATTGAGCATGAAAATATAGAAATTTTTAATCTAATAAAGTTTGTTATTGGTTTTTATAATTTAAATATGCTTAGAAAACATTCTAGATAATTAATGTTATTAACTCGAATGAACTAAAAACTCTTGGGTTAATTATAATTTCTATTATATTGTATTTGTACTGAAGTGTACTATATTTGTAATCTTGTAAAAATGAATTGAAAACGAAAGATACAAATATTTTAATCGAACTATAATGTATACAACCTCCGTTCCATCATGTGTTATGAAGAACGAAAGTCGTTTTAATTCATAATCGACTGGAGTGATTTGAAACACATGCACACTTACGCCTTTCGTGATCGTATTCCGGTTCTCCTGCCGTATATGTGAAAGTACCGTCGATCTGATTACAAGACTTCTCGTAAACACGTTGCTTAGAGACCGTTAACCTGGCGACAGGCTTCATCTGGACACCAGTAGGGTTAAAGAACGGAGATTGAGAGTTTTTTGGAAACTTCGATGAAATTTGTTGAATTTTTTCCTGAGGATTTGTTAGGTTATTTGATGACTGCAGAACAAACACGATTACCGTAAAATTGTTAATACATGTACGTAATTTAGGAAGCCATTGTACATGACAATTAAATTGAGACTTACAAATTTTAAAATAACAAAATAGATAGACAGAAGTTACCATTACATTGTAAAGTATGCATATCATGCGTACATTGATGCGGTTGTAATGCATATATAAGAAAGATGAATACGACCATATAACGTTCTAATTTGTATGCATGAAAGTTAAATGGATACCATCAACTTCTAAAACGTATATAACAAGGATAGATTGATATGCAATAACAGATCTGTAGAAGAACAATATTTTCTCATGCCCTTTAATATGTATAACATGTTACAAAGGTAGCTTGATGAAGGCACTATGCTGTATAATACTTAATAGAGGTACAAGTTTTATTACACGTGTAATAAGAATAATCAACTAGGTTTGTGAAAAATAAAGACTATGTGTAGGGGGTGTGACAAGAAAGGAAATCGTAAACATACATTGTAAGTGACTCCACTGTTTGTACCAGCATCCCACGGGTATAAGTTAATAACTTTTTCATTCACCCACGAGCAGTTCTTGAGGCACAGTTCGAGTCTGTTCACCCCTACTATCCAATCTGGGCTGGGTCCAAGCTTGCTTAGAAGAGACATTAAATGGTGTTTTCTGTCCACTCGGAAAACTGCAAAAGTTTTACTATTCATTTTTGGATACCGTAATCCTCTTGCCTTGATGATTGTGCGGATCTTGTGGGACTGAAAGTGAGTTATATTACATAACTTTAGTCCAAATAAAATAAAGTCTCCACGAATAATTTTGTTTGTTTGTTTTGAATTTCGCGCAAAGCTACACGAGGACTATCTGCGCTAGCCCTCTCTAATTTCGCAGTGCAAGACTAAAGGAAGGGCAGCTAGTCATCATCAACTCTTCGGCTACTCTTTAACCAACGAATAGTGGGATTGATCGTTACATTATAACGCCCCTACGGCTGAAAGGGAGAGTATGTTTGGTGGTATGGGGATTTGAACCTGCGACCCGCAGATTGAGAGTCGAGCTCCCTAACCACCTGGCCATGCAAAAATAAACACATAGATAAATAATTTACAATAAGTCATCTCTAGATTGTACATCTTCTCTGCAAAATCCATCCTGTTCTTCAACTACAGGATAAATGGAAATAATTATGGAAACACATAAGCGATACACATAAAGTAGTCACAAACAATGAGTGATGAGCTACGTGTTAAATTTATTAATGATACAAAGCATTATCACATAGAATAGAAAAGAAAAGCGAATAAACTGTACAAAGCACTAGTATTTTCTTCGTTGAACCCTTCGTTATATAGAGATAACTACACCTTTTTTTTTCATGCTGCCATAGAATTTATCCATGTACGATTGTGGAATATTGTTCCAAATATCCTTTACTACTCTCCAAAATTCAGCCAACTTGTTTGGCTGTTTTTTTTAATTTCTCAAATTGTGAAGTCCATAGAACCTTAAGAACGTATATATTGGGACTTTGTGCAAGCCATGGTTGTGAGTGTTCTATACGCCTCTTTACCGTCAACATATCGTTGTATCATATTTAAAGTATGTTTGGTTCAGTATTTTACTAGAAGATCAATCCCCACCGATAAGTCTGTTCCTGAGGGCATTAAGGCCCGAAAAGTGTTTGCAGTAGAAATGAGGTAAGACGTCGGTTTTCTTTGGTAAAATGCCCATCAATGCGTATCATCAGTTCTGACGTGCTGCCATCTAGAGTGAATTATATATAACTATTTTTGACAGTCACAGCGTGCATGTACACAAAGACGGACGAGCGCGAATGTGAATGATCAAAACGCGACTTTCTTTTTATTTAATTTTTTGTTTGTTTTCAAACTTTATTCTAAAGTAAGCATATTGAATTTGTTAATGTTACAAAGTAGATATTTCTGGGAATTTCACTTGCTTGATTTCAAACAATGAGGAATTATAGATACCTGAATATACCGTAACAGAAACACGATTCAAGTTCATTGATTTTCCATAACGTATGATTGCTTTACGATGACTGCCTGGGATATGATAGCCCATTTAATTAGAATTGCAACTATAATGAGTTAAATGGGAAGCCATTTTACCCCATCTTTGGAGGTAGTTTTATTCAACCTTATAGATAAAACGGCCTCCAATCATAAGAAGTGCATTTTTAATACCTAAAAAGACATATTTTTTTTTAACTAGAAATAACGTTTATAATAAAAAAATACTTTTATTTTCATTTTTCACGATATTAATTCAAAGTTGAAATGCACGTCTCACTCTACCTTCCTCTACTTGTCAATAGTCAAGGTGCCATCAATTTTCTGTAGACATACCAACATGGTTGACTGAGATACAGTCTTAACTTATTACCGATCCGTCACTATGATTCACTGTTGGTGTTATACCTTGACTATGATACTATTATCCTCTCCATCATCGAACAAATTGTCGTTGATTGTTGCAGACAAGTTTGAACTGAATTCATCTGTAAAGAGTACACATCTGCAACTTTACTCGTTCAAATGTTTGTGGTTTGATGCTAATTTCGGTCTTTTGGATTGGTTAACCTGTTCAGAGCAACGGGTTTCCGACCAGCTACGCGTCTATTGAAGCTATTTCGGGCTACTATGTATCTTACTGTTCATATTGCAAAGTCTTTGACGATATCTGTACACGACCCTCATCTATCTCGTAAGCAATATACCCTGGCCAGGTGGTTAGGGAGCTCGACTTGCAGTCTGCGGGTTTGAATTCCCGTCCCACCAAACATGCTCACCCCTTCAACCGTGGGGGTGTTATGATGTGACGGTCAATCCCACTATTCGGTGGTAACAGAGTAGCCCAAGAGTTAGCGGTGGGTGGTGACGACTAGTTGCCTTCCCTCTAGTCTCACACTGCTAAATTAGGGGCGGCTAGCGCAGATAGCTCTCGTGTAGATTCAAAACAAATAAACAAACAATATACCCCGAGATATTTTGCATGTCTTTGGATTTTTTATTTCTACCTTGACCACCAGTGGCAGTTTCATTTACCATCTCTAGTGTCTTGCATATAGCTCCTACTGCAACTGTTCGAACGTGTATCTCGATCAGCCTAAATTTTGATACCCACAGGCTTATCATGCAGTATTTCAGTCTTGAGAGCTAAGACTAGAATACTACTACTATACTAATACTGAGTACAGTGTGACTGCCTGTATTGGTGTTACACTTTCAAATTCCTTTGCTGACAACCAATCAATATAAGCTATCAGTACAATTCATTTTCACATAACAAAGGGGTGATATTTCCGTAGTATTTCCCTTTTATGCCCTTTATCCTCACCGTTTCAATAATTATTTGTATTACTGTTTTTTTAGATTCTATTTTGGGCTTGATATTGAATTTCTAGCTTATAAGTACATGGCATATATAAACTCTCTAGCATATAAGCACGTATAATGTAAAGTTTCTAGAATATAAACACATAGAATGTATGAAGTTTCTAATATATATAAGCACGTGGAATATAAACTTTCTAGCATATATAAACTCTCTAGCATATAAGCACATAGCATGTAATGTTTCTAGAATATAAACATAGAGAATGTATAAAGTTTCTAATATATATAAGCACATGTCATGTATAAGGTTTCTAGTATATAAGTACATGGTATGTGTAATATTTTTACGCATAGCCCTCCTTAATTTTGAACTGAAATACTGGAAAAAAGGGCATTTAGGTAAAATCATACACCTCAAACTCTTAAACTGTTCTCATCTGACCGATTTGAACGTCTCTCTTATACAGCATCCACGGATTCAGAGTGCGGAGCGCGTTTGTATGGGAAAATGACGCGAAAACTGAGCCATCAGATTCACAGTGCAGGCATGCTAGTTACTAGGTTACGCCCGGCCCAAAAAATCATACTTAAAACACGATAAGCAAACATACACTATATTGTCTGTGGTGCAAAATTTGGATCCTTTAGAAAGTATCTTTCATAATAATAGAATCCTTATAACACGGTGAAAAACTTACACGACAAGTTGTGGTATGAAGTCACAGTTCCTAAAATAGAAAATAACATATTTCCACAGTACAAATTAAAGTTCCAAGAATACTGTATCTTCTCATCAGGAGTATAAAATATTATAAGCATACAATTTGAATTTATACACTTTATTGGTTAAACACTTGAATTTATACACTTTATTGGTTAAACACTTGAATTTATACACTTTATTGGTTAAACACTTGAATTTATACACTTTATTGATTAAACACTTGAATTTATACACTTTTTCCGTTAAACACTTGAATTTATACACTTTTTCGGTTAAACACTTGAATTTATACAATTTATTGGTTAAACACTTTTTTGTATTAAAAATTATGTCAACCTTCTTATTATTAAGTCAAGTAAAGGAAATGGTATTGCGATTCCTAATAACGAGGATAAATTTGGATGGTTGTGAACTCATTGAAGACGCTTAAACTAATATAATCAGATCTCACCAGCGGAAAAGGATTGAAATTGTATAAGTCAAAGGCTTATAAGTCAAAGTATTATTACTAACAGAGGTGTCATCATGCAGCTAATTTATGGGGAGGGGGGAGTACAGTCAGAAAACAAGGTGCTTTTATTATAAATGGTGGGTTAACAATAATAATTATACAAATAATGATAAATGGGGCGTTTTTTACTTTTCATATTAGTAACATTTCACTGTTACTTTGATTAACTTACAGGTTTCCAATAGATAAAATATTTTGAACATACTTTATCAAATGTCTATACATAAATTGGAAATTATTAAAACTGTGCGTGGTAAGAATTTGAGGGGGAGGGCCCGTGCCCACCCGTGGCCTATTGGCATGATGTCACTGATTAATAAGGATTTGTATAACGTTATTAGACCTAATGGTTCTAACCATGAGACTTAGGTAAAAGACCGATTGCATAGAAATATCACCGCTCGAATACAGTGTTTATTTTTAATATTGAGACTTTTAATCAACCTTTATCAAATGTTTTAGCAAAATTTCTGAATGAACATCCAAAAATTGAGTATGTTACTCTGTATAGTTTAAAATGCATGATAAATGTTAGCTGAAATTCCAGGAAAATAGACTGCTTAGGTCTTAACCTATAAACATTTTGTTAGTAAATAAAATGTCTATAGGTTAAGACCTAA